TATGTATGTACCTAAATCAAGATATAATCATTTACTTATTGAATAATAACTGGAGAGGGTTTTTGGTAGAGAAAGGGTCTCACTACGTAACCCAGGCTGGTCTTGAGCTCCTAGCCTCCCCTTCAGCCTCCCAAAGTGCTAGGATTACATAGGTCTGAGCTGCTGTAACTGGCTGATACTATATCAAAAGATTTACCCTTTTAAGTTTACAATTCAGTGGGGGGCGGTTAGTATATTTATACTATTATACAACCATCCCCACTAATTCCAAAATAATTTTCATCACCCCACAAAGAAACCTCAACCCATAAATAGTTTCTCATTCTCTCCTCCTCCCAGTCCCTACAGATCACTACTCTACTTTTTGTCTCTATAGATTTACCTATTAGGGATACTTCATACATCAATACTGTACTTAATTATTTTAATTAATTAGCTAATTAAGGTTTGACATTTAATATAACTGATCTGTTGCTAAGGTGAAATAGTTTTTTTCTTACTATGATGCTTATATTCCTCCTAAACTAATCAAGTCTTATCTACAAACAGCTCCATATACTAACCATGTTTTTATTATTTTGTTTTGTTTTTTGAGACAGAGTCTCACTATGTCACCCTCGGTAGAATGCTGTGACATCACAGCTCACAGCAACCTCAAACTCTTGGGCTTAAGCAATTCTCTTGACTCAGCCTCCTGAGTAGCTGGAACTATAGGTGCCCACCACAATGCCTGGCTGTTTTTTGTTGCAGTTTCATTGTTGTTTAGATGACCCAGGCTGGGTTCATCCCGCCAGCCTCAGTGTATGTGACTGGTGCTATACATCACTATGCTGCAGATGCCAAGCCTAACCATGTTTTTATAATTTGGGTCTCTAGATGTACTGTTTTCATATTCAGTAGAGAGATGGCCTTACTATATCTTATGCTATGGAAATAAAGACAATGGAAGTAATTCCATACTTCCCCCTCTCCAGGAACCAAGGGAGGAATTAGGAGAATGGTGTAGTAGAGTTCCTATTTGGGAACCTATTATCACAGACTAATAAAAACTAAGTATACCAAAACCCTAGTCCAGCCCATCCTCTTATTTTTACAATAGCGTTCACTGAAATGAGCTAAGGAAAGAGGAGTGTTACACACTGGTTAAAGAAATGCATCAGGGCAGCACCTGTGGCTCAAAAGGGTAGGGCGCTGGCCCCATATGCCAGAGGTGGCGGGTTCAAACCCAGCCCTGGCCAAAAAAAAAGAAAGAAAGAAAAAAGAAAGAAATGCATCAGATGAAGATGTTTCTTTTGATTACATAGGGCAACATTTTAAATAATTTTTGTTTTGTTGTATTTTGGTTTTTGAGACGGAATCTCACTTGCACCCTCATTAGAGTGCTCTGGCCTTATAGCTCACAGCAACCTCAAACTCCTGCCCGCAAGTGACCCTATTGCCACAGCCTTCTGAGTAGCTGGACTACAGGTGCCCACTGTAACACCTAGCTATTTCTAGAGATGAGGGCCTCACTCTTGCTCAGGCTGATCTTGGACTCCTGAGCTCATGCAATCCACCCACTTTGACTTCCTAGAGTGCTAGGATTACAGGCATGAACCACCATGCCCAGCCCTAAATAATGTTAATTTAAATGTTTTAAATAAATATATTCTTATTGTTTTGAAGCTACATTTCACACATTGAAAATGAGGTTCTAGAATGTGATCTCAGCTCGACTATGAGAAAAATTTTTCTCCCCAGGACATTGTGGTACATTATGTTTGTCTTCATTGAGTATTTTAAATGTTGTATAGAGAAAGAGAAGTAAACAGGCAAAAGTAAGAAATCAATGAGTTGCTTTTTTTTTTTTTTT